GACTTTGGAATGAGAAACCAATCAAATGACAAAACAGAGTGAATTATCTTGAGTATTTTGGTCCTGAAAGCAGACATATATATAGTTAAGTCAGCAGCTTCTTCTGGTACTGAATGATATGTTTTGAAATTTTAACTGTGCCAAAGAGATGGAGGATAAGAAAAAGCTGATGAGAGCATTCTTCTCAGTCTAAATTACAAAGCCATTTCAATCATTGCCTCTATAACTGAGAATAGAACCATATCTAAAAAATGGTCAACTGTACACATAACCACTTGCTGTCACTGGAGTTTTTCTGAATAGTAATTGGATGTCCCAAAGGAACAAATATGCTTATCCAAATCAGGGAGGATAATTCCAGGATGAAAACCAAGTAAAGAGAGTGGGATGCAAACTAAATGATATCACTGGAAAGTTGTGTGAATGAGATAGTGTGGAATGGTGCTGTGAATGAAGGTAATTGGGTTACATTTGATGATAAAGTGTTTCTTTCTGCTTGATACATTAGTGTCCATATTCTGAAGTTTTAGATTTAGGAGTTCCATAAAAAAGTACTTCCAGTATTTAACCTATAACAGAGCCCTTACAGATTTCATATAGCTAAAGATACAGTTCAAAATTGAAAGAGAATTGAAGAAAAAGAAATGAATTTAGAAATAAGATTAAAATTACATATGGTTTTTGAAAAGACATATACTCAGCATATGAGGGTGTTCTAGCTTGCTTTTCTGTTGCTGTCATAAAATATTGACCAAAAGCAACTTGGGAGAGGAAAGTGTTTACTTGGCTTACACTTTCATGCCATAGTCTATCAATGAGGGAAGTCAGGGCAAGACCTTAAAGCAGGAACCTGTAGGCAGGACATTGAAGTAGATACTATGGAGGAAAACTGATTGCTGTCATCCTGCCCCTGGCTTGCTCAGCTACCTTGCCCAGATAGCAGTGGGTTTCAACCAGCAAGTATGAAAATATCCTCCCAGCTATGCCCAGTGGCCAATATGATGGTGATAATTCCTCAATTGGTGTTTCTCCTCCCAGAGAACTCTAGTTTGTGTCAATTGACATAACTAACCATCACATTCTTACCCTTTGTAGGGCCCAAGAGAACTTTGTGCAGACCACATATTACTTCCTCTAAATATTTAGAAGTTATAAACCACAGCAATACTGTTAAGTGAAATATGTGCTACCTTGCATACTTGACAAAACACCTTCATAACAATTTTGAATGCCAAGAACCAATTCTTCATGCTTACACTAAGAGCTTTGCATCAAAAAGTGGAAGTAAACTGTCTTCTCTTTCTAGCTTACCCTCCCACCCAGAGGAATCTCATGAAAGATCGTGTCCACAACCTAGGCTATATATTCAAGTCCACTCCAAAAGGCTGTGCCTTGGTGAACTCTCATTCATGGGGATTTAGATGTGTTAAGATGTGTTCTGTTCTAGGAAGAGAGATCTCAAGGAGATGCCTGAATAGGTTGTGGAATTATGCTAAAGAGTTCTTGGAATGCTTGCCAAAACTGGTAGCTAAAAGACTTGATGGTGATCCCTAGAGGATATGTATACTCTTTGCTTCATGGGCTTTCATTTCTGGGAAAGGATGTAAAGAAAGGATTGCCAGGGAAGGGTTTGTTGTGGAAATCAGGATGATGCATGGGCAAGGCACAATGAAAAACAGGCCACGACTCTGGCATACTTAACTATAAGATTTGGATTTTTCTTATCTGGATCTTCTAAAATGATTTAGGCACGATATACGTAAGTGTCATGCACTGTCCAAGCTAGGTAAGGAGCACATCTGCCTCAACATCTGATGAGGAAAGCAAATACAAGTTGAGAACAGATGAGTCCTCCCAGATTCTCCTAGCTGTAAGCCCCACTGAGACAGGTGGGCATCACTCTTAATAGCACCTAGACAACTGAAGGAGGAGCTCGGCTCGTGTCCAGAGTCTCCTATAAAATTGAAGTAGTCCTTGATTTGAACCAGAGAGGCCCACTGGGACTCATCTCAGGTAGTGTTGTGTCATTATCACCTAAGAATGGCTTCTGAATGCAGATAGAGAAATGTGAGTGTTCCACAAAAAAGGTTTTGTCAGGGTGGCTTCAAGGAGATTTTGTTGGAAGAAATAGGCTCTGGCATCTGCAGACATCAGTGATGCTCCTAAGGTATACCTAGGGATTCAGAGTTCATTTCTGAAGCCTAGAGCACGTAGTCCAGCAACTAAGCCAGTCTTTTTGCTATCATTTTCTACTGAAAAACCTTCCTGGCACCTCATTACTAGTGAGGCCACACATGTCAATCAAAAAGGAGAGAGCTGTTTCCTCCACAGAGCAGGAATCCATGGGTTTCTGCTTTATTAATGAGCTTCATTGACCTGAATTGTGTCCTGAGAGGATGACAGATTTTGAGAAATTTGATTTTTCCCCTATAAATACATTTAATAACTAAACAAAGCCACAGTTAAAGAGGTAAAGGGCTGTACTTATTCAGGCAAACAAACTATATTTTTTCAGACCAAGCAATTAACTTTATAGCTTATCATTTAATTGGCAAAATGATATCACATCAAAGACTAATATTATGCCCTATGTCATTTTTAGGATATTTGTTTCATAGTAAACATTACTGTCTAAAATGGCAGGAAAGAAGAGCCAACATATATTTTCTTTTTATTTAATATTTTAAACTCATTCTTTGACTATTTCATAAATAAATATGTGTTTAATCATATCCATCCTAACTTCCCCCTCCTACAATACTTGTTCCTTGCCCCTTCATGTCTCCTTCCTCTTTTTCTTAACTCACTAGGTCCAAGTAACGTTCACTGCATGAGCATGTGCAAACTCAGTGGTTACACCCCTGAAGAAAAATGGCTCCCCCTTCACCAAGAAGGCATCAATTGTCAATGGCACCTTAGATGGCGGAGAGGGGATGTGCTCATGTGTACACCCACTAACCATATTGGAATTGACTGGCTTAATCTTGCAAACATTTTGGTCAGGTAACTACGGCTATTTTGAGATCATGAGTACAATGACCATGTTATTTATGTTCTCCATCCTCCGGCTCTTACAATATTTCTGCCTACCTTTTCTGTGATGTCTTTTGAGCCTTGCGAGGGTCGCTATAGATGTCTCATTCAGAGTTGAGCACTCATCAGTCTCTTTTTCTCAGTACTTTGACCAGTTTATGAGTCTCCATATGGACTGCCAACCAATGCAAAAAAGGTTTTGCTGACTAAGTATGAAAGCAGCACTAATCTATGGATATAAACACAAATATTTAGAAGGCAGTTTGACAGCATGAACAATAAGCAAAGCAACTATGATTGGTTCCCCCCTAGGACATATGACACCAAGAGAGAAATTTTAAAATCAGGGTTACAGTATCTGGATCACTTCACTTAGTATAATTATTTTCTATTAATCTGTTTACCTGAAAAATCTCATAATTTCATCTTTCTTAACACCCAAATAAATTCCATTATGTATTAGATCCATAGTTTCATTTTTCTACTCATCAGTTGATAAACATCTAGAATGATTTCATTTTCTTGCTATTGTGAACAGAGTAGCAATGAAAGTAGATTTGCAAGTGTGTGGATATAGAGCTCTTTGAGCAGATACCTAGGAATGGTATAGCTGGCTTGTATGGTAGTTATATTTTAGCTTTTGTAGAGACCTCCATGCTGACTTCAATAGTAGTCACACCAATTAATACTCCAACCAATGTTGCAGAAGAGTTCTCCTTTCAAAGTGCATGCACTAGGGATAAATGCTGGTGCCACTGTCAGAGGCCCCATAGAGACTGCCCAGGCCTCCCAACTGACACTCACATACAGTGGGCCTGGTTCACTCTTATGCTGGCTCCCCAGCCATCAGACTGGGGTCTCTCTCAACCTAGATAAACAGGGGAGGGCCTAAGTCCTGCCCCAAATGATGTGACAGACTGTGATGGTTCCCCCGTGGGAGGCCTCACCCTCCCTGACAAATTGATGGGGGGTGAGATGGGGAGTTGGTGAGGGGAATGGGAGAACAGGAAAGAGGAAACTGGGATCGGTATGTGAAATAAGATTGTTTTTAATTTGAATAAAAATTAATTTAAAAGAAGAGTTCTCCTTCCCCCTCATCCTCACCTCATTTGTTTTCTTGATGATAGCCTTTTTCACTGGCCTGAGATGTAATGTCAAAGAATGTTTAATTTGCATTTTGCTGATGGCTAATCATGTTGAACACTTAAAATTGTTTATTAGTTTATGGAGATGTGCAAAAGAGGATGCAGAAAATTGTAAGAGCCAGAAGGAATGGATGACACCAAGGAAGCAGTGTCTTCCAGATACAACAGGATTCATAAAGACTGTGGTACCATGCACAAGGCCTGCAGAGAGGTTCAAGCCAAATGGGCTCCTAGTGCTGAGAGGAGAAATTGGATACAGGCTCCCATCTCTAACCAAGAAGATATCTGTAATTGGCTCCTGCTTTCAAAGGAAAAATGAGTTTTCTCCAATGGAGTCTCACTTGGTATATTAACCACACTTAAGGGCAGGACTTCCCAGTAGTAAATGATCAACATAAAATGAACTCAATGATATTTTTGTAGACTTTTTTTGTCTCATATTGTTTTGTTGGGCATTTTCTTCATTTTGTCTTTAGGGTATTTTGCTTGTATATTATGGTGTCTATGTGTTCTCTCTCTCTCTCTCTCTCTCTCTCTCTCTCTGTGTGTGTGTCTGCATGTATGAGTGTGTGTGTGTGTGTGTGTGTGTGAGAGAGAGAGAGAGAGAGAGAGAGAGAGAGAGAGAGAGAGAGAGGGAGAGAGAGAGGGAGAGGGAGGGAGAGAGAGAGAGAAAGGGCATTGAAGTGGGTTGGTGGGGATGTGTGGAGAACCTGAAAAGAGTTAGAGGAAGGAAAACCATGATCAGAATGTATTGTAGAAAAATTTTTTCCAATAAACATGTTTATTAGCCATTTATATTTCTTTTTTTCAGAACTGTCTGTTCAGTCCCATAGCCTATTTCTAATTTGGTTGTTTAACTTCTTGATATTTAATTTCCTGAATGCTTTTTTATATCCAATATAATAATCCCCCGTCAGATGTATAGCTGGCAAAGATTTTCTATTATGTGGGCTGCCTTTTTACTCTGTTGACAGTTTCATTTGCTGTACAGAAGCTTTTAAATTTCACAAGGGCTGGAAGGATGGTTCAGTGGTCAAGTGCATTGGCTGATCTTCCAGAGGGCCTAAGTTCAATTCCAAGTACCTACTTGGCAGCTCACAACTGTCTGTAACTGTAGCCCCATGGGAACTGATGCCTTTTTCTGGTGTGCATACATACAAAAAACACTCATACACATAAAATGATATTTTAAAAATGAATGAGATCTAATTTGTCAGTTATTGTCTTCTTTCCTGAACAATTAAGTTCCTATTCAGAGAGTCCCTACCTACAACTATATCTTGGTGTGTACTCCTTATTTTTTTCTAGTAGGTTTCAGGACTTAGGTTGATGTCCTTGATCTTTATGTAGTATGAGATATAAGGATGTAGTTTCATTCATTTACATGAAGATATTTTCACCAAAACCATTTATTGAAGAGGCTGTCTTTTCCCCCACATGTAATTGTGTCTTTGTTAGTTGAATGTGCTTGTATGTCATCCATTGCATTCCATTGATATACATATCTGGTTTTTGCCAGTATTATGCTATTTTATTACTGTGACTTTGTAATACAATTTGAAGTGAGGCCTGGCTGTACCTACAGCAGGATTCTTCTTACTCAGGGCTACTCTGGCTATCTGGGGTGCTTTGTGCTTCCACATGAGTCTTAAGATTTTTTCAAATTTATGAAGACTATTTCAAGAAACATGAATGAGAATAAATGGAATCTGTAGATTGCTTTTATTTTTGTTTTGTTTTGAAACTGGGTTTCTCTGTGTAACAACCCTAGCTGTCCTAGTACTACCTTTGTAAGCCAGGCTGGCTTCAGACTCACAGAGATCCTCCTGCATCTGCCTTCCAAGTGCTGGGATTAAAGGTGTGTGCTACTACTGCCTGGAAAAATCCATGAGTATGAGATGCCTATCCATCATCTACTGTCTCCATCAATTTCTTTCTTCAGTGTTTTAAAATTTGAATTGTAGAGATCTGATGCATCCTTGCTTAGTTTTATTGGAAGGGCCTTGAGGTACAACATTAACTTATGAAATTGACATTTCTCTGTGTAGCTTCTTAGCCTCAGGAACTTCTCTCTTAGGATTGTTTTCATTGCACCTCATAAATTTTGTTATGCTGTGTTTTATATTTTTATTTACTTCTAGGAATTTTAAGGTATATCTTTTGTGTTCTTCAAGAACTCATTCATCTTTCAATAGTGTATTTAATATACATGAGTTGTGTATGTTCTGGGGTTTCTTTTATTGTTAATTTGTAGTCTTATTCCATTGGGGTCAGACAGAATACAAGGAATTATTTCAATTTTCCTGTAATTCTTAAGACTTTCTTTGTGTTATGTGACTGATTTTAGTGAGACTTTTGTGGACTGCTGAGAAAGAGGTTACCCTGAAGCATTTAGATGGAGTATTCTATAGATGTCTGTAAAGTCTATTTAATATATGATATCATTTACTATATATCTGTCTATATTTTGTGTGGAAGAACTGCCAGTTGGTGAGCTACCAATATACTAAGATTAATCCTTGGCATTACATCTAAGAGTATTTAATTTTTTCACTTTATTTCACCATTCTTCTCACTTGTTTTCCATTTTTTATTTGAATTAGAAACAAGATAGTTTTACATGTCAATCCCTGTTCTCTCTCCCTCCCCTCCTCACCTGCCACCCCCCCAACTAAAACCCTACCTATCACATACCCTTTCTGCTCCCCAGAGTGGGTGAGGCCTTCCATAGGGGGTCTTCAGAGTCTGTCATATCCTTTGGGATAGGGCTTAGGCTCACCCCGTGTGTCTTGCCTCAGGTAGTATCCCTCTATATGGGATGGGCTCCCAAAGTCCATACTTATGCTAGGGATAAATACTGATCTACTCCAGGAGGCCCCCTGGATTTCTGAGGTCTCTTCACTGACACCCACATTCAGGGGGTCTGGAATAGTGCCATGCTGCTTTCCCAGCTATCAGTCTGGGGTCCAAGAGCTCCCCCTTGTTCAGGTCGGCTGTTTCTGTGAGCTCCACCAGCCTGGTCTGGACCCCTTTGCTCATTACTCCTCCTTCTCTGCACCTGGATTCCAGTTCATTTCAGTGTTTAGCTGTGGGTGTCTGCTTCTACTTCTACCAGCTGCTGGATGAAGGCTATAGGATGGCATATAAGTTAGTCATCAATCTCATTATCAGGGGAGGACATTTAAGGTAGCCTCACCTCTGTTGCTTAGTTTGTTAGTTGGTGTCATCTTTGTAGATCTCCAGACATTTCTCTAGTGCCTGATTTGTCTTTAAACCTATAATGTCTTCCTCTATTATGTGTTCAACATCCTTAGGCATCAGGGAAATGAAAATTAAAACAACTATGAGATACAATCTTACTCCTGTCAGAATGGCTAAATTAAAATAAAAACACCAATGGTAACTTATGCTGGAGAGGATGTGGAGAAAGGGGAACACTCCTCCACAGCTGGTGCGAGTGCCAATTCATACAGTCACTTTGGAAATCATTATGGCGATTCCTCCGAAAAATGGGAATCAATCTACCACAAGACTCAACAATTCCTCTCTTAGGCATATACCCAAAATAAGCACATTCATACAACAAGGACATCTGTTCAATGATGTTCATCGACACATTATTTGTAATAGCCAGAAACTGGAAGCAGCCTAGATGCCCCTCAACTGAACAATGAATAAAGAAAATGTGGTACATTTACACAGTGGAGTACTACTCAGTGGAAAAAAAAAACAATGGCATCTTGAAATTCGCAGGCAAATGGATGGAACTAGAAGAAACCATTCTGAGCGAGGTAAATCAGTCGCAAAAAGGCAAATGTGGTATGTACTCACTCATATATGGATTTTACACATAGAGCAAATGATTATAAGCCTAAAATCCACACCGCCAGAGAAGCTAAGAAACAAGGAGTACTCTAAGAGAGTCATACATGGTCCTCCGGAGAAGGGGAAATGGACAAGATCTTCTGAGCAAATTGGGAGCATGGGGGGAGGGGAGAGGGAGCTAGGAGAGTGAGAAGAGGAGAAAAGGAGGGGTGAGGAGGATATGATAGTATTCATTTTATATAATTGGGCACACCTATTTTCAGGGTGTCCATGTTCAGAATCATGATGTCCCATTAATTTGTTATTACCTTAATTTCTTGAAGGCAGCAAATAGATGGTTCCTGAGTTTTGATCCAATCTACTAGTCTCAGTCTTTTGATTGGAGAATTCAGATCTTAAGATTGGAAAATCCAGATATTAAGAGTCATTATTCAAAGATGTGCATTGATTTATGTCATTTGTTGATTTTTGTAGCATTTGGTTATCATTGTTCATCTCTTGCTTTCTTATTATTCTAGTGTGGCTTTGTGGACTGATTTATGTTTTATATGCCTGAAGGATTCCTTCAAATAACTTCTGGTGATAAGAGCCTTCACTCTGTTTTTATCATGGAAAGTTTTCACTTTTCTTTCAATTATTGAAGAAAAGTAGCTTTCCTGGGTATAGTAGTCTGTTTTGGCAGTTGCTATCTTTTGGAACTTAAAATATATTATTCTAAGACATAACTTTTAAAACTTCAGCTGCATAACTGCTGTTATTCTGCTAGGTCTGTCTTTGTATCTGACTTACTGTTGCTCCCTTGCTGCTTTCAATAACACTGTCCTTGCTCTGTGTGTATTTAGTGTTTTATTTATAGTATTATGAGGAGATGTTCTTTTCTGGTCTCATTTCTTTGGAGTCCTAAGTGCCTCATGGTTCTCAATTGGCATCTGTTTCCTAACTGAAAAGTTTTTCTGTTGTGATTCTTTTCAAAATGTTTTCTATGCCTTTAGAACTCCATTCTTCTCCTATTACCTGTAGAATTCATCTTTTAAGAATGTCATGTTTGTCTTCCTACTGCCATCTTCTTATTATTCTATGTTGTCTTTGTAAGACTGTTCTAGTTCCTCACCCTGGTCTTCAAGCTCAGAGATTCTGTACTGTCCTTGATTCATTTTACTAATGAGACTGCATTTCAGAGTGTTGTTTACTTAGCATTTCTATATCTCTGCAGAAATCCTCATTCATGTTTTATATTCCCTTCCTTATTTTATTTAGCTGATTGTGTTCTTAATATGGAGTATTTTCCACATTGATTTCTTTGTACTTAATATCATCATTTTGAGTTTTCTGTCTTTCATCTAATGTACTCTTACTAGATTCCATTATTGTGGAATGAGTAGTTTATGGAGGATTTATGTTGTCTTGTATTTTATGTTTATGTCACTGTGTTGGGATTTACACACCAGGGCTTACTTTGTTTCTTGGGATTTGTTTTCATCTGCTGCATTCTTTTAGTTGAACTATTTTCAGTGTTCAAGAGGGACTTGGATATTTTAGAGTTGAGGTGCTAGTTCAGATAATAGTTCCTCAGTCCAAGAGACTAGGGTGCCTTTTGAGAGCTTCATATTATTCCCTGAGTAGAATGTTAACTGTGAGAACAACCACAGCTGCTGGATATTACCACTATGCAAATGTGTACTAGCCAATTAACAACAATGGCCCCTTTGACTTCAATAACTGTTGGAGGATAAATAACTGAGGATAGTATGAAGTATACTGGGATTGTAGTTAATAAGGTTAGGGGTGGGAGGAAAAGGAAGTGTGTGAGAATAGGAATTAAATTTAGATTGACTTTTTAAATGAAAAAATATCAAAGTGTGTCAGATAGCTGGAAGGGATAACATTAGGGTTTTTTTAAAATTTTAGATATTGCTAAAGCTACAGAAAATTGTAAATAAGAAGTGAAAATAGAAGGGGAAAAGATGAAGAGATTTAAGAGTAACAGGTGACAAATAAAAGACACTGGTGAAAGATATGATCAAAGAAGCATACACAGCAATCCTAAAACCTAACTAAGAAACCTACAGTTGAAAAAGCATCCTGAGACATTTATGCAGGAGTGATAGACTGCTGGCATAGCTGCCCTGAGTTGAAAGATGAGGGTCTTATATATTCTCATGAATACATGATCACACTCAACATGCAAGGGTCTCTACTTAAATTCCTACACTTCAGAAGGAATTGGATAATAGGTAGGCAGGATCCTGATTTTCAAAGAGTATAGAAAAATTGGGAAATTTAATGGGAACTGAAAAGTAAAAGAACCCCTCACTCTGGAGTTTAATATGTAGTTTTTAGCTGACTGTGTCAAGAATTTCGACACAATTGAAACAATATGCTAAAACAAACTGTTGTGAAGATTGCTGCTGGAAAAAGTACTCTGATAAAACGGGGTTTTTGAGTGAACAAATATGAGTTCCAACCCTGGTTCTTCCCTGTCATCACTTGATTTTGCCATCTCTTTCCCTTTCTCTTTAACCTCATGCTTCTTTCTCCTTCCATTTATTCTTCCTCTCTGCTCTCCTCTCCACTAAATCTCTCTGCTTCCTTTTCTTGTCCCACTTGTGTTTCCATTCATTTCCCTTCAGTTACATTGGTTACTCTCTTCTTCTTCAATACCATTTCCGTCCTTTTGTTTCCTTTTATTTCTCTAGAATTCCTTGCTAAAGTTAATATCCAGAGTGTCTAAATCTTAAAGTGTTTGAATCTGATATATGTTAGTATTTCCAACAGAACCTGGTTTTCTTTTCAATCACAGACTTTCCTATAATGACACAAACACAAAGAAAACAAATATTTCCAAAGAAGCATTAGCTTGAAGCTTGCTGCTCCCATTCCCCACCCTGAGCCCCAGGGACAAACTCTCCTCTGCTAGCTTACACCATACATTTTGCCTTTCAGCTTTAACCCATTTTCTTCCTCTCAGTTCTAGACGAGGCCTCATGGGGGAGCTGCTCTCTCACTGTAGATATGCCAGATCTGTCGTCTCTAACAAGGACTGACCTTTATGGATTGGAATGAAACATGACTTTTGCTTCAGAGACAAAGGTTTCCTATTGCTATTTTCCTGCAAATGTCTTTATTTTGTTTTCCTCAAGGAACCAGAATTTAAGTCTACATTTTACTTTAGCAAAATAAAATTCCCAAATAAAATCCAAGTTGTTTGTTGGTAAAGCTTTTCCTTGTTCAACATTGAAATAAAGGATAATTTCAAGTATTCCTCCCACAGATGGGTTTTCCATGTAATGTCTTTAGAAAGAGTTCATTGTCACTAATTCTGTTATGATAACAGCATCTGATTTATGATCTTAAAATGTTGCCAGGATCAGAAAAATTCAAATGAATCCTGTGGCTAAACTGCAAATTGATTTATAAACACAAATCCCTTCGGTTCATTTTTAAAAATGAAGTACCAGGAGAAAACAAATAGAAGCTAAATTGGTTGGTGTACCTTTCTGCTGCAGATTGATCTGCCATTCAATCGCTTAGAAATTTCTATGAATCACGTTGGTGCAGCTCGAAGACAGTGAAGATTGCTGCTCTTATCGATGACCCAAAGCATCAAAGAGCCTCACAGTACCCACTGGATCCTACAGAAGAAACAACAGGTTAGCCTAAATTGAGCCTTAACTTTAAGCATGTCACTTCTCTGGGCCAATCTATGTTTTCTATATGATTTACCCATTTAAATAGAACCTTTCATAAGATTGCAGACTACCTGGCTTGTGCCCTTCTATTTCTCATTGGCAAAACTGAAATCTAGGAAGGGAAATGAGTTTTTCTAGGGTTAACCAGTTGGATAGCTGTGTTTATGGAGCATGAAGGACATACTTTCTGGGACACCATCAAGATAGCCTTATTGAGTGATCTGACTTAGTTCTGTTTCAAGTAGTACATGTCTGTGAAGACAAACTGTTCATGGAATATTAAGTTAGCATAGTTATATACTAATATTTAGTTTCTTGTCATCCTAAGTTATTTGAATCTCTGAGCCAACACAGATTGTGGAATTACTTCTATCATAAGATGAAAAGATTTATGTGGATCAGTAAGATGACTCAGTGGGTGAGGACACTTGCTGCTAAGGCTGATGCTCTGAGTTTGATTCCCAAGACCAATATGGTATAAAGAACAACCTCTAGCAGGTTCTCCTCTGGTTTCCACATGTGTGCCATGGCATACTCCATTACTAATGGATAAATAAATAAGTAAATAATATAATAAAATTAAAATAAAGAAATGTAGAAATGATCATTCTTTCCTTAAGACTTAGTCCTCCCTCAGCCTTAGTGCTCCAGAGCAAAGATTGAGCTATTATTTGAGAAGTCCTTACCATGAAAAGAAAGAAACACTTTCTAAATGGATTTCTGAAAGAGAAGGGAAACTTGTAACACAAATAATAAAAAACCCTGAGACAGATATTGGGGTTCTAGCTGAAGATCAGAGAAGCAAAGCAGCCGGTAGCTCTTCTACCAAGGCTGAAATGGAGATCTTGTCTGAAACTGAATCTCATATAAGACCCTTTGCTTCTTCCTTATATTCTCTCTAGCACTGGGACTAAAGGTGTGAGCTCTGTTACTCTTTTGGACTCATTCACTCTCATGTAGGCCAGGTTGGTCTTGGACTCACAGAGATCCATCTGCCTCTATCTCCTGAGTACTGTGATTAATGCTGTGTGACACCACTGCCCAGCCTCTATAGCTAACTAGTGTGTCTAGCTTTGCATTCTGATCTCCAGTTGCTTTATTAGGTCATAAGAAACAGATGCACCAGGATCGGAGTCTATGAGCTTGACTTCCTTCTATAGAAGTTCAAGCGCTAGAGTTGGGAAGCTATTACATAATCAAAACCATAAAGCACAGTACCTTTTTACCTCTTTACTTGTTTTGAGCATTGCAGGTAGTGCAGAGGCCGTAGCCCAGCAGCACCAGAGGAAGGCAGATAATAGATAAACTTGTCTTTCCATTGTCTGCATATGGAATGTGTCAGGTCCAGAAATTTCCAGATATTTCCTGTTCTGGATAGTTTTATGTCAACTTGACACAGGCTAGAGTCATCTGAGAGGAGGAAACCTCAAGAAAATTCATCTATAAGACCTTGCTGTAAGCAAGCCTGTAAGGCATTTTATTAATTAGTGATTGATGGAGATGTCCCAGCCATTGTGGGTGGTGCCATCCCAGGGCTCTTAGTCTTGGGTTTTATAAAAAAGCAGACTGAGCAAGCCATGGGGAACAAGTCAGTGAGCAGCACCCTCCATGGCCTCTGCATCAGGTCCTGCCTCCAGGTTCCTGCCCTGTTTGAGTTCCTATCCTGATTTCCTTCAGTGATGAACTGTGATGTGGAAATGTAAGCTGAATAAACCCTTTCCCCCCAACTTGTTTATTGGTAATGGTGTTTTGTTGCAGCAATAGAAACTCTAAGATTTACCCCATTTAGAAAGGTCTGACTGTAGAGGTGTTTATAGGTAGCGACTTGGAGATGGTATCACAATAAATATAGGGTGTAATTATTTCTTTGGTATGGTGCCTGAATTCATTTCTTATGAGTGTATAGCATGGCTATCTCTCATTGTCATGAAGTATATTTATGATGATCTAGGAGGGAAGGGGGCTCAAAGGTTCTAAACAAAAAGGAATGATAATAAGCATTTGGTGTGTAGCTAAAAGTTACAACAGTTACCTAGTATTTACAAAGTATTAGTTTCATTCCTAGTACATACACACACACACACACACACACACACACACACACACACACACTGATTTGTTCAGTACAAACTGTATGTGTGTATTGAAATTTCACCCTTCAATCCATTAATATATAATTGTCATATGCTAGGAAAAGGAAATTTTATATTTTAAAATTATATTGCACTTATATTTTGTGTGTGTGTGTGTGTGTGTGTGTGTGTGTGTGTGTGTGCACTCGCATGTGTTTGTGTGTTTACTGAGTTAGTCAGAAGACAAATTTCATTATTTGGTTCTCACCTACCATGTGGATCCTAGGAATTGAACTCAGATTGTCAGGCTTGGCAGCAAGTACCTTCCCATAATGATCCATCTTGCTGGCTTCAGAAATTAAATGAAAAGAAAAGAAATACCAGTCACTTTGATGATTAACAGGTCCCTTGCTCTGTATACAGCATCAATAACCAAATCCTAGAATTTTAGAACTCCAGTGTTCAAGTAGATGGAATAAACTCTTTGGTGTAAATGGACCAGACTACAAATGGCGCTGTTCATTAGATAAAGAAATGCAATAGTACACGAGAACAAAGGGAAATAACAACTAGACTGCAGTAATTAGCAATTAGGTGTGGAACTCAAAATACAAAATTCTTGCTGAAGTGACCTTAACAATTCAGAGTATGATGTGAAGGTATAACTGAGAAATTGAAACTATGTCTTCTGTACTGTGAAACCATACATAGAGAAGTAACACTTTTAGTAGATGGGAACAGAGTGAGCATAGATTCAGAGCAAAGGGAACTCCATAATATTTATGCTGTGTCATAAGCTGTCATGGCTTAATGCTACTTGGACCAAGATAATTATTACTTTTTAGGGCTCCAGGGTCCAGATAAGACTGTAGAGCCATGACCTCCTCCAACCCTGCAGAACTTAGCTTCAGCTCAAGCTGGCCTCACTGGTTCATTGCCACAAAGTTGCTTCAGAGAGTCTAGTCACCCTGCAAATGAGGAAATTGCATCTTCACAGTCTTTAAGTTATAGGTCCTCAGGGATATACTGGGTTTCTGATGGATGATTTCACAATATCCAAGGCTATGAGCAAACTTTTTCTCTTTGTGTCTTATCCAATCTATCTTGAGCTGCTCTGTACTCTAGCTTTAGTGTCAGAGGATTTGCTTTATCCTTCTGTGGACTTATAACTGTACCTGTGACTCCTTTCCTGCTAATATCAATAGATAGCTCCTAGCTTTCCTTTATTCAGGGCACTTTGATACAGGGCCTCTTGTTAGGATGGTAGCATGTATTTGAGTCAGTAATTATTCAGGCAATTCAATTTGTTCTGCTGGAATTACATTCAATATATGACCTTAGTAGAAATGGTACCTCCTAAATAGGTGACACCTTATGTGCTATTATGTACAGATATTTTCCCCCAAATTTACATGTTGAAATTTTAATCTCTACTACTGCTAGGTATAACCATGTAGTCATCCCTCAACATCTCTAGGGCATTGGTTATAGGATCCTGATTTATTGTAAAATCTACAGATGTTCATGTTGCTTATGTATAATCACACCATGCTTGCACAGCATCTCTGAGTATCCTCCTGTGGGAGTCTTGTCATTTCTAGATTAGTTATAGTATGTAACAAAAAGTTAGTGTAATTCATTTTACTGTTTCATAATGGCCAAAAAAGTCTGTATGTATTAAGTATGCAAGTATAAAAACAAACAAAATTTTAATCCTTGAAATTTGTAAGTTCCTAATCCAATTTTTGTTTGTTTGTTTGTTTTTCGAGACAGGGTTTCTCTGTGTAGCTTTGGAGCCTATCCTGGCACTCGCTCTGGAGACCAGACTGTCCTAATCCAATATTAATACTGCCTTTATAAGAAGAAAATTTGAAGACAGGCATAGGTGGCGCACACTTTAATCTCAGCACCCAGGAGGCAGAAGCAGGTGGATCTCTGTGAGTTTGAGACCAGCCTGGTCTACAAGAACTAGTTCCAGGACAGCCTCAAAGCCACAGAGAAACCCCATCTCGACAAACCAAAAATAAAGAAGAAACTTTGAAGTAGCTCTGATAAATTAGTCAGACGTGGCTACTTCGGCATCACCTTCACCCTTTTCCATGCCATTCTCATCCATCCCATCAAGTGCTTCATCTATAGGTTGGAAGTCATATTTCTAGGTATAATACTATTTATCACTGAAAATTCTATTGGGCTACCTTATTCTTAAATGATTTAATATGTCAACAATCAACAAAAGTTATAGAAAGGGGAAAGTTGAAAGTTGAGGCGAGGGGAGGGAAATGTAGGATAGACAAATTTGACTATTTACAGAGGGTTGGGATGGATAACTGGATACTAAGAGGTATGAATATCATCCATGCACATGGATAACAAAGGTCAGAGAAGCCAGAGGTATATTTTGTTATGAATTAGATCTGTTTTTAGACAATTTCACACATGTACACAATACATATGGGCTATACTATTCCACTTTCCTACCACCTGTCAATCCTCTCTCCTCTTCATAAATTTCTCTCCTTTCCATGATTAAGAAGCCAGAATTTATTTACTGCTTTCATGAGATGCAGGTCACCAAGGGTACACCTATCATAAACTAGAGATGCCCTTGCCCAGTGTGGCCCTGTCTGGCTTTGGAGGAAGACCATTAGCTTTGTGGCACTGGTTCTTATAAAATAGAATAATGTTTTTTTGTTCTAAACTTATATGTCACTGATGCCATGGTGTGGCTTTGGAAAGAGGTGATGAAGGTTATCTTA